AAATAAAGAACAAATAAAATTGTTAAATAATAGTAATAATAAATTATTAAAAAAAGAAAAAAGTAATAAGTTATTCTTTTATATGAAATAAAGACTAAAACCGTAATATTTATAAACTACAAGAATATAAATTTAGGAACCAAAACTTTAAATAAGATCAAAACACAAGGACAACTTCTGTAAGTTACTTTAAAAAAAAAAAAAAACGGTTTTGAAAAGTAGACAGCGATGCATTCACAGTATACAATCATTATATTTTTAATATTATTTTAAAGTAATTTACTCTCTACGGTTATTGGTTGTGTTTAAAATCTTCTTAGATTTACAAACTAGGTGTGAGATCCGTGTAATACACGGATTTTCTTTAAAAAAATTAATATATTTTTTTAAGTATTACATGTTTAATAATTTACAAAACTGAATTTGGAAAAAATATCAAAATTAGTTGTGAATAAATCAATTTTTGCAAGGTTTCTGTAAATTATCGTGAATTCAAAATGGATTGTCCAAAAATTATGTTTTTCAATTAAGAAAGTTGATTTGAATTTAAATTGAATTTAATACATTAAAGGATAAATTATGTGAGGATTTATAGAGACATTTAAGTTTCCTTATTTTGTTTATTATATTTTTAGATTAGATTTTTTTATACTTTAATAACAAAGTCAAAAAAAATCACAATTTGCCAAGTAGATTTAAATGAAATTGAAAAAATTAAAAAAATAACATGTGGCATATTGAATTAAGTGATGATATGTGGCAAAAAAACCTTTATTTATTAAGTAGGACTATGAATGATTTTTATAATATTTTTTTGTTATAAACTATGAATGATTTGTGACTAATTTTTTTTTTTTGTTAGATTAGTCAGCAAAATAATATCACAGACCATAAATATATATTTAAAAAATATGCATAATTTGTAAATTGAGAGAATTTTTATGGAAATATTCGCACACTATTTTTTCAAAACTTAGATATTATTATAATAACAATATAATAATATCCTTTTAAATTTGTAATGAACAATCTAAAATTTTATATCACTATGACAGATTGTCACTCATCATTTAATAGTTAAATTCTTTATTTTTGGCATTATCCAAATTAAGTAAACCGATTTTGGAAATCTTATGGTTCTGGCACCATGATATTTCCGATCCGCATGATCCGGTAATGGAGTATGACAAGTATGGACCCCACATGTTTTTTTTTTTTTTTTACTTAAAAAACAATATACGCATCGTTGGGTTGTACAGTAGAGTACAACCCACAAACGCATTTCGAGAAACCATTGCGATGTATTTGTATGGTATTATCGAACTTACCGATGAGGAATGTACTTGAGGCTACCCCAAGCTCCTTGTTGACCCATGGAGTATCCAATTACGTAGAATTTATCACCAAGTTCCAGTTTATCAGCAAGTTCTTCCATATCCAAAGCCAAGCTCTTAATCGTTCGTTTCGGATCCGGATCGCTTTCCCCGTAACCCGGCCGATCGAACGTCACCATGTAGATCTTAAGTTTTTCAAATAATTCCTACAAAACGTATCCACATTCACAAATTAAGCAAATCCAATCCATTCATGGCGAAACGATGCTTAAGTCCAGTTTTGTATATGATCAATCTACTCAATCATATATACAGCATACTCAAGTCAAACTACCTGATGGAACAGCGATTCGTCGAAGCGGCAAGAGCTGAATCCATGGACGAACACGATTTTATAGTTGGCGGTTTCTCTGGAGACGCCGTATTCATTATAGGCTAGATGTCTACCGTCTCTGAGGGTGACTCGAGGTCCGGTGACCGGTGGACCACCTGGTGAACCGCAGCGGTTTGGTGGCGGAGGAGTGGTGATCTGATATGTAAAAGCTATGATTCCAATAAGCAACACCATTGCAATCCTCTTTAACGTATTATCAAACCCTTTCTGAACCTTCATTTTGATGCTGCTCTCGCTCTCCACCAAAGCCAATGAGGGTTATATATATTATAATTTCAATCTTCTTTTTGTTAAATAGATGTCTTCGAGATCGAGATCAATGGTTCAAAACTTGTCTTCAATATAAGTGGAATTAATAGTAATTTAGAGTAGATTTGATCTTTAAAGAGATGTCAAGGGTGGAAGTTTTATAAGGTAACTACAAGAAATGAATATTCAGTCTCATGGGAATGGGAAGATGATTTGGTGTTCAAAGTTGGTAAACTATCTCAACTATTGGTATTTAATAATTTAGTGGTTGTCAATGTTCACCAACCGTGATATTTGACTTTGATACTACATTAATACAATTTTACAAATAAATAAAGTTAATTAGAATGTTATTATATTTTTAACCTTCTAATTATTCATTTTAGGAAGAAAAAAAAAGTATATTAAGTCACGTATTTATGAATTATGATCATAGATCATTGTCAGTTATATCAAGTAATCTAGAATAAATAATTAATAACCGTGATTAATATTACCATCGTACGTTAATGTGTTACATCTGTCTTTTTGAGTTTTTTTATGTTTAAGTTTAGGGCTACGATCATATGATATGATTCTATAATAATTTTATGTGACACGCAAGGTGTGTATATCATGTGCATAGCTTGAATTTTTTTTTTTTTAGTGTTCTGTCTTATACAACAAATAAATCAAAATACAAGTTACGAACTTATTATATAGTGGATGCTCCAAAAAATTGGTAAGTTTTAGTAGTGTAGTCTTGTAGACAGAGCAACAAAATTTGAAAAACGAATTTATAGCATTTGTTTTGTAAAATAAAAAAAAAATGTAGGTTAAAAAAGATACATCATGTTATATACATCATACATGTCATATTATGATAAAGTTTATATTGAAATTGTAGATGGGACTAAATCTAAAATTTGTATTCAAAATTTGTGCTGAAAATTATATATTAAAAGTTATGATAAAAAATAATACATTATTTCAAATGAATACATAATATTATGTGTAGATTGAAGAAAAGGATATGTTGCTAAAGATGACAAAAGGTGTATTAAATTCGTGTAGTTACAAATTTTAGAAAATTCTCATATTAAAAAAGATTCACATATTACACGGCTGAAAAAAAACATGATACACGATATATTAATTATATAATATTTAACTCAAAATTCGGATAAAAATAAACGGGTCAGTTATATTTAGATCCAAAATAAGCATCACATATTAATTAAGTATCATGAAAAAACAAAATAACGCCGTAATTAAATGATGTATTTTGTCATAATTCATGAACATATATCTTTTTTTCCTTGAACATTTAATAAATTTTAGAGACAACCTTTGGGCTAAAATATAAATATAAAGGTTGGGCTTTAACGAGCTTTAACGAACTCTTAAGCCTAGTCCAAAAAGGCTGAATAATAACCTTTTGCTATTTGGGAGAAACTTTTCCACAGAAAATAACTTTTAAGTTGGAACGTTTTTTTTTTTTTTTTTTTTTTTTTCACATTTCGATCTTTCATTAGTTTTGACATTTGTTAGTTTATATTATTTTTGAAATAAATATTATCCACTTGTTAATTTTTGATTTGTTTCATTTTTTTAAATTAAAGTCATATAATTATATATGTAAAGTATTATATATATATATATATATATATATATATATATATATATATATATATATATATATATATAGGGTTAGTTTCATGTGAGACGGTCTAATTTTGTGAGACCGTGAGACGCATTTTTTTATTTTTTTTATTTTTTTTTTTGAATTTTTTTTAATTAATTCAAGCTCCGAAAATAATATTTAAAAAAAGAATTTTTTGATTTTTCCATTTATTTTGCATTTTAAAATTATTTTAAGAATATGTACAGTGTAATATTCTATTTAGAATATTTCACGTATTTTTAAAAAAAAATAGGTTTTTTTTATTTATTTTTATTTTTTTTAGTTAATTCAAGTTCCGAAAATAATATTTAAAAAATAATTTTTAGATATTTCCATTTATTTTACATTTTAAAATTATTTTTTAGAATATGTCAGTGTAATATTCTATTTAGAATACTTCACGTATTTTTCAAAAAAAAAAAAAAAAAAAAAAAAAAAACCGGATTTTATTTTATTTATTTATTTTTAGTTAATTCAAGTTCCGAAAATAATATTTAAAAAAAGAAATTTTGGATTTTTCCATTTATTTTGCATTTTAAAATTATTTTTATATTTGATCTCACGGTCGCACAAAATTAGAATGATCTCAAATGAACCTGAACGTATATATATATATATATATATATATATATATATATATATATATATATATATATATATACACGTTCAGGTTCATTTGAGACCATTCTAATTTTGTGAGACCGTGAGATCAAATATAGACCATTCTAATATATATATATATATATATATATATATATATATAATATATATATATATATATATATATATATATATATATATATATAATTGCAATAAATACGTTTCTTTTTTTCTTTTTTTAAAATTGTATATTAAAAAATATTTTTTGTTATACTTTAATTTAATATTTAATGTTTTTTTTTAAAATCAACCCGTGTAACACACGAGTTTCACACCTAGTTAACTTATATAATATTCTCATCCGTTGATTTTGAAGGCCTGTACGAAAACTAAAATTTGACCTCTCTAAATACAATTTTTTTTTATATAAGCAAAATATAAGAAAACTTAAAAAGTAACTAAATTAATTATAATAAGAAAAATAATTTTTTATAAAAATTAAGGGGAGAATATATAAATTTATAAAGTTGATTTGTTAAAGAATTAGAAGAAAGGTTAAATTATGAAAATGAAAGTATAAATAAGTGGCTAAAAGTGTAGCTTGAGGTTATGATGTAAATAAAAGGGGATTAAATGCATTCGCATATTCAAAAATTTGTAGACAAATTAAAACGAAGTATCTTGAAGGTGGACAAGACCTCTATCATTTGAGCTAAGGCTATCTGGAGTGGGATAGAAACTCACGCCTAGAAGCTTAGGTGGCATCTTAAAAGACTCGTGAACACCGTCCCAAGGGTTGGTGGCTTGGGTGTGGAGTGGATGTAAAGACGGGCCAAAACAACCGATAGCAAATAAGCAACAACAAAGTTGGCTTATCGGCTTTCATCCACTTTCTCTTTTATTGAAGTTACAATTATGGTCTCTAAAAGTGTTTTTTTTTTTTTTTTATCTCATTATACCATTTTACTTATATTTAAATTAAATTAAATCCCAACTATATATATTAATGAAATATGGTTTTGTTTTTCTATGTTTTTAAAATATTTATTAATGTTATAAATTATGTTTTTTAATTAATTTAGTGCTAAATTTAAAAAAAAAAATAGAAAAATGAATATTATAGAGCGTTAACCATTTCCAATATCTAATGAGTTGATGGTGAAAATGATATAACGCAAAGGTGACGGTACTTTTTTTGTGGGTTGGTAATGAGTAATGACCACTCCCCGTAGCCTAAAGAAATTTCATGTTAATATTTGCACAAAATTATATATATTAACAAAATAAAAGATTTTTTTCTTTTGAGAAATTGAGGGTGGCTTCCACCCCCCCAATAGTTGCTATGTGCCCTTTGTAGGTCATAATATTATGGTAATGTTGTATGCCTTTGACCAAGTCCTTAACCTCCAAAGTTGATTCTTATGTTCCTTCATTACCGATGAACTATATAGTCATATTTGTTTGAACTTATTAAAATAAACAAACATCGTCTTATAAATTATATTGCAAAAATTCCCATAAAATAAAATGTTATACATGAAGAACACGACAACTTGTAACAATTGTACATTGAATGTCAAAAAAGAAAAGAAAAGAAAAGAAAAAGTTTACTTTGTAACAATCGTCCTTTTTGCAGAAGCATGTTAGGGTTGCAAAATCTAGGCTGCTTTGGTATCACCAAGTGACTGTTTCTTCTTGTTCCAAAAGCTTACAAAGAAAGAGTCCATGATAATCTACACACATCAAAACCATTCACATGGGTCCCACATACCCATTTAATTTTATGTCAAGATTTCTATTTCTTTTTTTTTTTTTTTTAAGTGCAACTTAATAAAATAAAACAAACCTGGTTTAAATGTGCTGCAACACAAGGAAGAACAAGCAAACCAGATTCCCCAAAACTACCACCAAGTTGATCCACAACTGCAACCAATACTGGCAAAGTTTTCTACAAATTGCAAGAAATAATATTAAATTAAAAAATATTTACATTTTTGTTAATAAATCTAATATTAATTATTTAAATGTTACCTGACTTGCAACAAGTAAAAGCGCACTGGAATTTTCCTTGTTTGCAAAAATCGATTTATTGCCACCCGATACGCCACATAGGATTTGTATTGAGAGGGCATTAAATCCCAATAAAGTCAAGTGAAGAACCCTGAATTATTTATATTTTATACCAATTAACTAAAAACTTCAAGTAAAAGATACATGAGAAATTTTATAAAAACTTACGCTCCCATTACAACAGCTACAAGAAAAACTTCAAGCTTAACCATTAGAAGAAGTGACCTTGATCTACTCACTTGTATCCAAGGGACCTAAACAAAGATCATATTGCATCATTTTTATTTTTCTTTTTGTAGCATTTCAATTTTTTTTTTTTTTTTTTTTAAATATATAGCAATGAAAAGGTTCATTTTTATTTCTTACCAGACTTAGTAAAATAGCATTTACACATGATAAAAGCTTACGATTACTATCACAAAAATCTGCCACCCCTACAACAAATAAGAACTTGGATATGATTCATGATTGTAAAGATGCTCATTAGAATCTTGTAAAAAGAATAATCACCTTTAAAGGATTCCCGAAGAACCTATAATATGGAAGAAAAAAAAAAAGAGAGAGGAAAATTTGAACTCTTATATAAATGAATTTATTTCAGAATGTTTTGTCTGGATATGAAAGTTGAGAAAGTGAG